GAACCCTATGGCAGGCCGCTGTCCACCAGCCACCGGCGCCATTGCAACGTGTACAACACTCGATGTACTTTTGAAACATCCATATGAAATATTTGCAACATACGTCTGAAGATAGATGAAACATGGGTCTGAAACAGTTAAAAAACCCTAAAAAGACTTGAAAAGATATTGCAAAACATATGCAACATACAGATAAAACACTTGCAACATATGTGTGAAACATATGCAATATCCAAATAAACACACTTGCAATGTACTTCTGAAAAAATAGATGAAACATTTGGAACAGACACTTGTAACATACATGTATAGCCATTGCAATATATGCAACATCCCGATCTACTTCTACAACATCCATATGAAACACTTGCAACATACCTCTGAAATATTTGAAACACTTAAAACATACGCTTTTCAGCAAATCCTGGTCGGCAGATGGACGGAGCACTGCATAGCGGGATCCGGCTATGCGGTCATGGTGGAGAAGGAGGATGGCAGCGGGCAGGCGGCTGCGCAGCCCCCCAGTAAGTGGTTTTATTGCCCCTAGCGAGTGGTACCTGCAGTGGAGGTGGCAGCGACGGTCAGGCAGCAGGTATGGCCTCGTGTGGCGAGGCAGCAATGGCTACGCGGCCACGTGGAAGCACGCAATGGCTTTGCGGGTATGGGGGAGCACACAGCAGCGGTGTAGGCGTGGCGACGCGGTCACGGTGCAGCACGCCAGAGCGGTGCGTGTGCGGTGACGCGAGCACGCAGCACGCTGCAACGGTGCAGTCGCGGCGGCGCAGTTGCAGTGGATGGGTTCGAGAATGGAGATAGGAGAGCAGAGGTATCGTTTCTTTTAGCAACTCGAGTTGGCTAGTTGAGTGAGAACGTTGGGTTGTTTGGGTGGACGTCGAGGCCCACCAAGGAAGCGTCCGGGCGGCCGAATGTCAGCATCACAGCAATTACATTATTCAACCACGTGCAATTCATCTACTTGCTGTCACGCTGATTTGTCATGTAGTATAAGAAATCACTATCGGACGTGGCTTCTTTGCCGAGTGCCTCAGGCATTCGGCAAAGGCCGATATACACTCGGCAAAGGGCGCTCGGTAAACAATCTATGGGCAAAGACCTCTTTGCCGAGTGCACTTTATCGGGCACTCAGCAAAGACTTTGCCGAGTGCCAATCTGACACTCGGCAAAGAAAAGTGGTCGTGACGGCGAGCGCCACCGTGACGGCGGCTTTGCCGAGAGTCAAGGTCAAGCTCTCGGCAAAGGTCCTCGCTTTGCCGAGTGCCGTTGACTTAGACACTCGGCAAAGGCGGCCTCTTTGCCGAGTGCCGCAGGCAAGACACTCGGCAAAGCATGTGATGTTTGCCGAGTGCCACGGGCTAGGCACTCACCAAATCTCTGATGTTTGCTGAGTGCAATGGCCATTGCACTTGGCAAAGCGTGTTCCCAGATAGATCCCAGGCAGTCACTTCGGAGATTCTCATGAAACTTCTTCGGAGATTCTTCGGTTTGCAAGCATCGTACGTGACAACTTGCGTGAAACCTCCTCAAATTTTTATCAGAACCTCCACATATGATATCATGACATATTGACAAGTTTCATGATTTTCTGACTTCGTTTGCTTTTTATAGAATTTAAAAACAACTCGAACGCAAGTACGTGGTCATGTTTCGTGAACAAGATGTTCGAAATTGGTGGTCTGTTCCTGGATACGGCCTCACGTTATACTAAATAACATGAATATCATTTTCCATTCATTTTTTTCATTATTCGAATGACTAGCAGTTATAATTTGAATTATCCAAGAAAATTCAATTAAATGAAATAAATTAAAGAAATATAGAAAAAGTCCGAGAAATGTGCCACATTGGAACATGGAGTACCAGGTATTGTATGAGGACTGCAGAAAAAGTTTGGAGGTCAAAAGTGAAAAAAAATATGGTTTGTGGAGTGTCAAAAAATGACACTCGACAAAGGAGCCTCCTTGCCGAGTGTCAGGAGAAGACACTCGGCAAATGAGACTCTTTGCCGAGTGTCAGGATAAGACACTCGGCAAAGGATTAACGGCGACTGCCGGTCGTTAACGGCGGCGGCCCTTTGCCGAGTGTTATTGTTTGACACTCGGTAAATCTGGTCTTTGCCGAGTGTTGTTATCTTTGCCGAGTGCCATTGGTTTGCCGAGTGCTTTCTCTTTGGCACTCGGCAAATAGCCCCTTTGCCGAGTGCCCGATAAAAAACACTCGGCAAAGTGTGGGACACTCGACAAAGAAGCCGTCTCCGGTAGTGAATTTCCATTGCGAAGACCAGCAAGTCAACTCCACGTCCATTAACCAGCACACATCCAAACCTGCAGGTGCCGTGTACTTACTTCTGTAATAAATATGACATGCTCTTCTCTCATAATTGATCTTTGTTTAAACAGTTCTTGCTCAAGTACCATGCTTGTACAAAAATAAAATTAAAGATTAAAAATATACATGGATTTTCATGTCGATGCATGTTGTGCTAATCACATCGTCTAGTGTTGATCCAACCTGCCTCAAGCTCGTTTATGAATGCATCAGGAGATTATAGAAATCGGTAGGCCGGCTGTCGCTGTATATGTGCTCGTCATTCTTTTGTAATACACTACACGGAACATTACCATAAACTTTCGACTGAACTAAAGCCACTTATATATAGACAACACGCAACAGGTTAGATTATTGTTCAATGAATGAGAGCAATTATTATATGTGTTCAAGTTCTTGTCGTGTTCCCATTGTTGCAACCAAAGGACGTCACCACTAAGTAAAAAATTATTATTATTCCCTAAAGACTAAAAACATTGACAAAGTTTCTGTAACTTAACAAGCATATCAGTCATTGTCTTCAGCGGTCTTGGTCACTGGGGACTTTTGAGTTGTCAATATTCACACGCCAAATTAATTCACATTCACCCCTGTCCATTTCATCTACTAGCTGACGTGCCGATTTGTAATGTAGGCTTTGTTTCATGTAACTTCTCCACCAGCTTCAAGAGTTGCTTGGAGTTATTTTCTACCATATGTATTTTTCCAAACAACTTCACCTAAGAAGCTTTTGAAAACTTGCTCTCATAGAGGATTGGGGTGGGATGAAACTGAAAATAGCATCTTTTCTCAGCTCGTTCTCTCTTTGTTGGGCCCAAGCATCCCCATGGTCGCATTTTCCCTAGGACGATTTGGTGAGGGCACGGCCGGAGCTATCGGGTCGCAGGAGTGCGAGCGTGGAGAGGGGCTATTTATTGCTGTGTGTTCCATTTCGCTGCTGCCCCGTATGGGCTGTTTGTTTCTGATTGTATATAAACACATTTTCTATTCCCAATCTTAATTGAAGGGCAGAGCTCCTACCAATTTTCAAAAAAAAAAAAAGAAAAGGCAGGCTGTCAGTGTATATATGCTTGTTATTCTTTTGTAACACATGAAACAGAGGACCCAAACACTTTTTTTAGATGCAGGAATAAAAAGTATTCTGACCTCCCACATCCACGCATGAATGAGTATAGCCATTTGATAAAAACATAAAGGTAGCTAGACTAAGCTCTGTTAGACAGAGCTTTAAACAGAAATAAAATGATTAAGCGAATGCGACCCGACAGATCTAAATTAAGGAAACTTAGTTCTCTATTCTTCTTTGGTATCTCTATCCTAGCTTTCCAAAGAGTTTGAACATCATAACTTCCAAATGACTGCATCCTTCCTTCAAAACCATTCTCTCTTCCACTTAAGATAACTAGGACCATTGTGAGTACGTCCCCCTTCGTTTTTTTCTAGATTACTTGACTGCACATGATGTTCCGCCCAGAGCAGTGTGTATTCATCAGCCACACCTGCTAGCCTTGTGCTGGATCTTGTAGGAGAAAGCAATAGGGGTGCAAATGGTAGGGATAATTTCCGACTATATCCAAGTCAGAATCCGAATGGAGTTCAGATCTATCCGTATTCGAGTCTGGATATTTAACAACTGATACCGTATCTATATCCGAATACTCAAATCGCATATTTATGATGTCAATATCCATTCGTATCATATTCAACATAGCTTATACTATCCATATTCGAATCCGAATCCGAACAGAAATATGAAAACAAATGTAATATTAACTATATCCGTCCGTATCCGACCATTCGCACCCCCAATCTTAGGAATTGAAGCAGCAGCCCTGACCTTTGCAGGCATTCAGAAAAATCAAGTATTGATAGGTCTAGTTCTTTTCCTTTGCTTATGCACGGCAAAGAAATTAGATAAAGACTTGGAAAGTAATTTTATCGCCAATAGATAGTTCATCAAGATGAGACTAAAGGCTACTTGATTTGGCCTCAACTAAAATTGCGCAGTCATGAGATATTAATAGAAAAAAAAGCAAGAAACAACAAGTAAACATAGCTACTCACGCTATTTGCACGAGCCGACTTGCTAGTTTTATGTTTTTGGAACTTGTCATGCTGCCATGGCATGCCGGTCTCACTGGCATGACACCATTAAGCTACTATGGTGCTGTGCCTAGGCCACTGGCGGAGCCCATGTGTTGGTACGGTACGGGTACGTAACCGCCGTGCCCATCAGGCCTTGCATGATCGGGCCCGGACGGACCATGCGACCGGTTTGGTCACTAAGAAAAAGTTTTCCTGAATCCGCCATGATGAGAAACAATTATTAGGATACTTTCAATACAGAAACTAGCATGGTTTCTATCCATATTATTTACGTTGTCAGATAGACATTTTGCTGATGTGGCAACTAATTTATTAAAGGGAGAGTGTAAAAATCGAAGAAACTGTTTGTAAACAAGAAACTATATCTTCACATAAATTGATGGTTGAAGAAACTACAGGAGACACAAAACGACAACAAAGCCAGTAGGTAGATTTATAGAACGAAACTGGTGCTGTTCCTGACGATGCCAGCCGGCCTTAACTAAACTAGTTGACGTACGATGCCTTGTGAGTAGGTAGCATCGTGGAATGATTGGCATGTCGTCAGCTCAAATGGGAGATGCATGGAGGGGACGTTCAACAATGCCCGCATGGGTGAGCAGCGCCCAGAGGTGCGTGATGAACTCTCCTCCGGTGGCGAGGTGCTCGAAGTGGACGTTGGCGTTGTTGGAGGGCGCAAGGAAGAGCACCAGCTCTGCCCAAAACCTCGCGAGCAGCTCCCACATCCGCGGCTTGTCCACTTTCTTGAGCTGCCTCCCCAGGTCTGCTGCTAGGATCAGGATCGGTGTGTCTTTGACTTCTTCTGGTTCTGGTGAACGCTGCTCGTCTTGGACTTGGCTGCTGCTACTGGGTTTCGCCATGTCACAGCTCTTTGACGTGTCAATGGTGTCGCCACCACCACCACGAATGTAGGTTTGGGCCTCATCATTCACGACGCCGTCCAGGACCTGCATGGGTATGGCCTTGTAACCGTTGTCTGCTCCTGGGAACAGGATCGTCGGTGGTGTGTCTTCGACTTGGCTGCTGCTCGGTTTTTTCGCTTTCAATTGAAACATGGTGTCACATCTCGTTGGCATGTCCTTGGTGTCGCCAAGATCGGTTCGGGCCTCCTCCACGACGGCGTCCAGGATCTGCTTGGCCTTGTAACTGTTGTCCGGCAGCATGTCCGGGACGAAAGCAAGAAGGTAGGCACAGTAGCCGGATAGGGTGGTCGCGACGTGGCGGTGGCCGTGCTCGTCGGAGTCGTCGAGGTCACACATGGTGGTGGCTATGTGCCACACAAGAACCGTGTGCGTGTGCGTCGGGAGGTCGTCGCATGCCCAGTGTAGCTCCAGATGTCTTGCACTCTCCTTGAGGGAGCGGCCGACAGACGGCAGGCCACGGGTTTCTTTGAGGCAATCGAGCACCGCCTTCCTGACCTCAGCCGTCAGTGGCACGTCCGGCTCCTGCCGGCGGCCTTGGTCTGTCGGCTCCATCATGCGCAACGACAACCAGGACAAGGCGTTCTTCCCGGTCTTGCTCGGGTTGTAGTCGTAGGACTTGAGCAGCGAGTACTGCCCGAGCTTGTTATCCCAGCAGTGCGCCGACTTCCGCCAACGCCATGCCGCCACAAGTTTCATCAGCGCTCGACGGATGCCGCAGCCCCTCTTCCGACACCGCTGCTTTTTGCCATCCCCCGTGTTGACGACGTAGTCGCACACGAACTGCACAAGGGCCCAGTTGGAGTAGCCCGTGGCCAGGTGTTGTAGGATGTCTATGCTCAGGATCATGACAATGAGGAGGACGTTGTTGAAGTAGATAAAGGTGTTCTCCGGGGGCTCGTAACCAGACGGTGAGCTCAGGAATATAAAATCCACGAGGAGCACCTTCAAGAAGCCAAGAAGGACGAAGAAACGGATGAAGCCGAGCAGTCTGTTGGTGGGGAAGAGCGCCGGATATTTGGTGTAGAAGAAGTCATACAGAAAGGACAGCTCGACCTCCACCACACGGAAGGCGCGCTCGTAGCCCTCTCCGTCGTCGGCGAGAAGGCCGTCGACAACAAACTCCATCGTCTTCTGGTCGCCAGCCTCGGCGATGTCGAGGTCGCCGCAGAAGCGCCGCTTCAGCAGCTTGAACAGAGCGAAGGAGAGGCATGAGTGCACGTGCACTATCCCATTTGCTACCGGATCGGAGCAATTTGCCGTTATGTTTCCAGATCATGTCGACTGTGACAACCTTGCTGCCCACCTTTGTCAGGTAGGGTGGACATACCTTCGACGGCGGTTCGGAGTCCTTGTCCTCGCCGACGACCAGGTATTTGCACTCAGTCATGTTCTTGGGGTTATGCTCTTTGCCGATATCGGCTTTCATGTAGTCGGCCACCACCATGGCGCTGCGCACGAGCCCGTGAGCCGAGCTCGCCGTGCGCAGTGCCTTCATCCTCTGGGCCATCTTGAAGATGCTATAGATCCAGCAGAGCAGGAAGTAGTCCAGCAAGACCCACCTACCATCCGAGACGTCGCTCCGGCTGTAAAGCAGCCAGAGCACGAGCAGCGTCTGGAAGGCGTGTTTTGCCAGCATCTCCTTGCTCTGCTCGATGTCGTGCCGGCTGAAGGCCGACATGCCGTTGACGCTGCCGAGAAGGAGCAGCAGCCCGACGGCCCACAGCAGCTGGCTGTCAGGCATGCCGTGACGAGACCCAACGGATTGGACGAGGCCAATGGTGTAGGATACCACCGGGAAGGAGACGGTGTAAGACGCCCACAGCAGGAGGCGGATGAAGGCCTTGCTGCCTAAGCGCCGGCGCCGGGAGCCCAGCAGCGCCTGGACACCAATCAGCACAGCGCTAACAACCGCCAGGATGTTGATAAGCATCCCCTTGTCTGTGCGGATCCTCGTGAACAGGTAGCTGGCGCTCATTTGGGTTGGGGGTGGCGGGGGGACGTCGGCCATCGGCGACGGCGAGATGTCGCTGCCGCCCCCGAAGCCTAGCGACAGATCTCCTTCTCCTATATCTCCAACGGGATACATGCTTATGTACAGCTGAGCGAATATCCAAACAAGCGCATCAACGACGGAGACCATTTTCTCTAGCTACTGTCAAGACTTAACTATTGGGGTCTCTTGATGGATCTCTCTGATGAACTCTGAAGAAGCAAGCTTCCTGAGTTGCATTATATATAGATAAAGATCACCTCGACGAGGATGCTCCCCTTGTGATTGGAGTCTCGTCAATGGTGGTGAATTTTAGTGTTTCCATTCTAAGAGTAAAAGATGGTGTGTGAGTCTCCGCTAGGTGGTGGTCAATCTAGTATATTTTTATATACTCCCTCCATCCTCTCAAAAATAAAAAGATCTAAGCCCTATTGTGGAGAACATAGGGTTTCAATGATTAATGTACACAAGTAAACGTAATGAACACAAGTACCAGCTATGGCTTCCTGCCATTCCAAACTTCAAATGGAGTTCTACAGCCCATAGCTTTAGTTGGTAGTCTATTCCACAAATAGACTCAATGCCTTAGGGTGTGTTTGGATGGGTGGCTTAGGGCCTATCCAGACTTAGCTAATGCAGCCTCTTCATGTTTGGATGCCTGTCCAAGGTGCTAAGCCTGGCCCGAGTAAGCCAAAAAGGGGTCCGGAGCATGTCTCCGTGGGAGCGATCGCCCCGACCATTTCCCGCAAGCCAGGCTTGTGCTAGGAGACCGTATCATTAGTTTTCGTCTCAGCTCACTGCTGCCCCCTGTGTTGTCTTATGCGCCACCGTTGAGCCCTCGTGCCGCTAAGCCGCCACTATTGAGACAATGTTCGTAGTGCAGTCCCTCGAACGTCCACTGGGAGAAGTAGACGATCCGAGGAAGAAGAAAAAGACGTCGGCAGTCACCATGAAGAAAACAATCAGAGGAAGTTAGCGAGCAGTCGTGGAGACACTCCCCAAAAACCTGATCGCCCATATACCCGAGCAGGTGTCACTATGCGGACGGCGGTTCCGGAGGCCTGCTCTCCCAACTCTCCGTGCGCGCAGGGGATTGGGATGGGAATGATAGAGAGCAGCGCAACAGCAGCGAAAAGGTGTTCTTAGTTCTGTCTCTTCTCTCGTGAACAAGAGGAGAAGTGCCTCTTTTATGTAGCAACAAAGGAAGACAAAAGTGAAGAGATAAGTGCATGAAAAGACAATGTCCATTATGGCAGAATCCGTTACCGGTAACTCATGAAACTGACAAATCAATTGTCAGTTACTAGTAACGGAAACCACTAAGACATATATCATGAACCACTATCACATAGTGGTCATCATGCACAGAAAACTCATCAAATCGTAAGTTGCACTGCATAAAGCACACAACAAATTACACCTAGCATTAACTTTGATTTTGGAATTTTCTTTTAATTAATTGTTGAATAAATTGGACACCCAATTAAATCCAACAATCCCCACCAAATTCCAGGGCGTACAAAATGCTTCTAGTTCTACTGATGTTTGATATGCTAGCTTTTTAATGGAGACTGTTAACTTGAACATCCATCTAGAATAGAGGTCACACTTCTTCCCAACTGAACAATGGACTATGCCTTGAATTGATTGTCTTGTGTGAAATAGGTTTCACCTAAGTCCTTTACTAATACAAGGCTACCTAAAGCATCCTCTCTATTTGGAGCATATAAGTCAAACTCTCAGGCCTTTCATGAGTATCTAGAGATCACTCAAATCTCATAGACTGTGACTAGCAGTCAAACTTATATAGGTGTGTTCCTCAAAAGATATGTTGTAAGACAACATCTTTGCTTCAGCAAGCCACTTGGAACACATTAAGCTAAAAACCAACCTGCCTTACAGCAAAGGAAAGACATGCATCTGACATGGGCCTAGTTAAGGGTCTTTCCTCACAGTCTACCACTGGCTTGTTTTACCATCCTACTTCACGGGATCTCCGATCACATACAACAGGTTACCACCATGTTAGACTTCATGTGGGTCTCAAGCCCATCTCACTCGATGCACTATCTATCACATTACGTGATAGTCCCTTAGTGAATTGGGATCTGCCAGATTTTTATATGTATGGACATGGTCCAATGCTATCACTCTGGAGTTTCTCAGTTTTCTAACAGATTTTAACCACCTCTTAACATGCCTTGTGGACTTCATGTTGTCCTTAGAACTGTTTACCTTAATTATCATAGTCTAGTTATCACAGTTCATAGAAATACCCAGTATAGGTTTTTCTACCACCGATAAATTCATAAGGAGTTCACAAAACCACTCGGCCTCAATGCCAGCGGTGTCTAATGCTGTGAGTTCTGCTTCCATGGTTGACCTCATTAAGATGGTCTGCTTGCAAGACTTCCATGAAACAACGCCACCTCCAAGCAGAAACACATCTCCACTTGTAGCGTGAACCTCATCAGCATCAGATATGCCTTTGGCTTTAAACATGGAGTCCATTAACCATAGGAAATAAAAAGTATTACACAAAAATAATAAAATAAATTATTAAATTCAAATATGAGAAAATCATATCACTGTTGGGTCCATACCTAAAGCTGGCAGTGATCATAAGGATATCACTATTGGTTGCGACACAAGCAGACAGTGTTGCTCAGAACTACATTGCCGGTTATAGTCCTAACCTGGCAATGATCTTAAGGATAACACTACTGGTTTGGGACCAGAACCGGCATTGATGTTTGATGTCATTTCCATGTTATGGCAACCAATAGTGACAAAAAAACCCATCACTCCCACTTGCCCACCGCAGGCTCACTTTCCGGCAGAGATATGGGGTTGAGACCCAGCAGTGAAGTGTTGTTTTGAGGTAGTGTGCGCCACCGCTGGAGAAGGGGGCAGCCTGCCCTACACAACCATTGGAGAGGGAAGGAGGCAGGAGGAGGCGAAGGGAGACAAAGAGGAGGGAGAAACTCTGAGGTGTGCATTCGAGGGGGTGCGAGAGGAGTACAGAGAAAGGTGCAATCAGGAGCAGGCTAGGGTTTCTTGATTATACTCCACGGGCTGAGATGGGTTGGATGAGCCTTTTACAGAGGTGATAGTGACGCAAACATTTTCACCATCAGTTCATAGCATGAATCGTGGGTGAATATTATTTTCACCTCCAGATCGTTGTATGAATAGTTGGTGAAACTATGAACAGGCAGTGATATAGTACCGTTGCAAAAATCATTTATGTAGTAGTGCAGTTTGGGAACTAGATATTGTCCCCAAATTGCTCGTATATCTACCAGTATTAGTCATTGACCTAGGGCATCATGGTCCCTTTATAGGGTACAAATTTTGTCAATGTTTTTAGTCTTTGGGGAATAATAAATTTTATATAGTGGTGACGTCCTTGGCTGCAATAATGGGAACACAACAAGAACCGGAACACATATAATTGCTCTCATTCATTAAACAATAATCTAACCTGTTGCGTGTTGTCTGTAAGTGTTCAGTAGAAAGTTTACGGTAATGTTTGTATATATACAATATGTCTCGGTTATGTGTTTCGTGTCTAGTGCGTGTATTTCAAAAGAATGACGAGGATATACAGCGACAGCCTGCCTACTGCTTTCTAGAATCTCCTTACGTGCATTCATGAATGAGCTTGAGGTAGGTTAGATCAACACTACACGATGTGAATATCAGAACATGCATCGACATGAACATGTGTGAACATGAATCCATGTATATTTTTAGTTTTTAATTTTCTTTTTGTACAAGCATGTCATATAGTATTACTTGAGCAAGTGCTGTTTAAACAAAGATCAACTATGAGAGAAGAGCACATGTCATATTTATTACAGAAGTATACGGCTCCTGCTACATTCTCGGAATCAGCTTTGGATATGTGCTGGTTCATGGACGTGGAATTGAGTTGCTGGTGTTCACAGTGGGAATTTCTTATACTATTACATGAAAAAACAGCACGACAGCGAGTAGTAGAAATGTAGAATTGCCCGGGGTTAAATAATGTGAATTAACTTGGCGTGTGAATATTTACAATTCAAATGTCCCGAGTGACTAAGACTGCTGTAGACCAGGACTAGTTGATATGCTTGTTAAGTTACAAAAAATTACAAGCTAGGTGGAGAAAAAAAAACAGGAAGAATATAAAATTTGGACTGAGATGACCTGATGGAGTCATGATATGATTAGCGGACACACATATGCTAATATAAGGAAACATCGCATCAAGGCTCCACCACAAATACTGATTGGTCACTGACCTAGGGCATCATGGTCCACCACAAATACTGATTTTGACTGAGATGACCAGATGGAGCCATTTATTATTCCCGGCAAATACTGATTGGTCACTGACCTAGGGCATCATGGTCCCTTTACAGGGTACAAGTTTTGTCAATGTTTTGTCTTTGGGGAATAATAACTTTTACTTAGTGTTGACGTCCTTGGTTGCAATAATGGGAACATGCATGCATGACAAGAACTGGAAGACATATAATCTGACCTGTTGTGTGTTGTCTCTATATAGGTGCCTTTAGTTTAATCGAATGTTTATGGTAACGTAATAACGTTTGTATACGTACAATATGTTTCTGCCGACTGCCATCCGTTTTGCTCTTTTGTATATTACAAAAGAATGACGAGCATATATACAGCGACAGCCTTGCTACCACTTAGTTGAATGTCCTTATGCATTAATAAAAGAGCTTGATGCAGGTTAGGTCAATCCTACATTCCTACACGATGTGAATAGCATAACATGCATATTGGCATGAAGTTGTGTGATCATGAATCCTTGTATGTTTTTAATTTTTTTGTGTACAAGAATGCAATATAGTAGCACTTGAGCAAGAGCTGTTTAAACAAAGATCAAGTACCAGAGAAGAGCATGATGTCATATTTATTACAGAAGTATACAGCATCTGATGCATTCTTGAAATCAGCTTTGTGTTAGAGGGTATTTCGGACTACTCCACTCCATGTTTTCAGCTCCACTCCACGTTTTTTAGTGAAACAGGTTCAGCTCAACGCAACTCTGCTCCAGGAAAAAAAGATGGAGTTATGAGAGCACATAAAGGGGTGCTTTCGTCACTGAATGAGCCAAATTTGTCATAATTTCAGTTTTA